TAAATTTTTTCATGGTTGTTCTGAAAGTTCTTTACAGAACTTTTCTTTTTTCCCTTTATTACATTTTTTTTGTCATTTTAGACTTTTTTACATTAACAGTCTTTATGTTTTTTTTTTTTTTTTTTTTTACTTCAGCTGTTCTTTGCATGTTATTTAATAAATTTTTTAGAAAATTTGCTTTTTTGATTATGTACTAATCAACTTCGTTCATTTGCACAGGTCATTTTGGATCAGTGCAGAACAGTAGAGTGGTTTAACATGACTTTTACTAGTCTAATATTGGCAACATCAAACCTAGAAAATTGTGGTCATGGTCTGTCCAATCCAGCTGTGGAAGACATCAGTGTCACTAGTACCTTGTGCTTTGTGACTGTAGATGTGTATCCTAGGGGTCCTCCACTGGCTTTCTTGAAATCTGAGGGGTAACTAACAGGTTTATTATATGAAATCAGTGACTTCACCTAGGCACTGAGCAGCTTTAAATCAACAGAATGGAAGTCCTTCCCTTTTTCACATATGTCCTAAAGTTTTAAATGACTGAGGCCACAAGGGCTTTGCTGGAATGTGAAACGATAAATTGAAACTCCTGATTTTCAGTTTTTAATTTTTTGTAATATTTTGTGATCCCTTTTGTCTCTAAAGATCTTTGTCTTGCTCCCATATCTTTACTAATCTGTGTAATTTTCTGATACTAACAAACCATGCGATCTCAGTGTTCATATTTAATTCATAGTCAAAAGCAGTACAGGAACTCATGTCAATCCTCCCACAGAATCACTCATTATTAGTCACTGTCTATTCTGGTTTATTGTCATTTACTTCCACTTTTCTCCTATTTTTTATTTTGTTTTTAATTGGTGACAGAATTACCTTTTCCATATTACCTATGGTTCTCAAATTTTAATGGGATTTATATCTCAAAAGAAGACAACCATATTATCAGTAAAATTCTTATCTCTGCAGTTAAAATATTTGCTTTCTTATTTCCCTGTCTCAAACTTTACTCCTTTTGATTCCACTAGCGCTTTTAAAATAGTAAAAAGCACTTATTAAATACTAAATACTCTGAAATGAAAAATCTTTCTTTTTCTCTGGTCTTGTTTTCTTTTCAGTTTCCTTCTTGACTTCCTTTCTTTATTCAAGACCCAACTCGAAATCAAATATGGAATATTGTGTTTTCTGTCCATCCTTATTTGCCTAAGCCTAGTCTGAGATTTTTGCTATGAAGTAGCATCAATTCTGTGATGTCAGAAAAAAAAAATAGAAAAAATAATTTAAAAACATATTACTTGGTTACAACTTGTGTAATTATCTAAGGCAAATATAAAGACTGCATTCTTCTATAGGGTGAAGCACACAACAAAACAGTATCTCGTAGATCAGAAGAAACTTCACTTCAGGGAAGGCTATCCTATATTTTGCCACATGGAGAACCCAGTTATTCAGAAAGATTTCAGTTAAGATATGGCATCAACAAAGAGGAAGCATTCAACTGAACAGGTTTGACAGTTCCTGTGTTTCATTGACATAAATTCTCTTTGAAGAGTGGGATAAACAAAAAATAGCATTATTTATAAAATATACCTAAAAGAAGAAGAAAAAAAAAAAAAAAGCACAAGTTATTTCTTTTCTTTGCATTAAGTATATGCACCACCTTGTTCAGGCCTTTGATTTTCACCACAGAAGTGGCAAATCACTTTCATTTGCATTAATCATTCTCCTCAGAGATTCATTACCTAATTCCAGCCACAAAATTAGTGATGTTATTGGGATGTTTGGAAAGTGTTTTCTGCATGTTTGGAACAGGAGGAATAAAAGTACCTGGAAATCACGTTTTACCCTCAGTCCATCTTGAAGTTTCTCGAAAAACAACCTTGTCTGCAGGCTGATATAATTTATACTGATGGAGAGTGGCTGTTACAAGCCTTAGTGATGGTCACCTGCTGCCTGTGCTCCCTGGGAAGCAGTATGGTAGTTAGAGGGACTTTTACCTTCCAAGGATTCTCGACACTAGAGTAATTCTCCTCTGACTAAGCCTGTTCTGCTAAATGTTGCCCTTGGAATCAGGAACTGTGGCTATTTTCCATTACTTCATGGTGGTTTTAACCCAGTCGTCACTAGGTCCATTCCAAACCTCATAGAAAATGCTATTATATATCTTACTGATCCAATCTTTCATCTGAAATAGTTTTAAATCTTGGAAGGTTATGTGTCAATGGCTTCCATTTCCCTGTCATCTTTGACTTTGTCCCTTTAATGGGAATAGTGACTGCTTGTGTAGATGTACACAACACCCTTAGTGAACCAATTCCTGGTCTTTGGTTGTTACTAACGTATATGTTATTCTTAATAGAAATCATACAAAGAGGTTTAAAAGCAAATGCCTTCCTCTGTATTTTTTTATCACAAAAGATACTACATATAGGTAAGTTTATGTGATGGAAGATGATTTTTGTTTTGTTTTGTTTTTTGTTTGTTTGTTTGTTTGTTTGTTTGTTTTTGTTTTGTTTTGTTTTTTTTTTCCCCTAGTATAAATAGTCCAATTAATTTTTCTTTTTTTTCTTTTTTTTTTTTTTTTGGTGTTCTTCTGTCTACATCCAGTGTTGGCTTGTGCTTTTATCTTTCCACTAGTTCAGTGGCCCAGGCAGTTATTGCCGTGATTTTCCTGTCAACCAATCAATTTACCACCTTCTAGTTTAGCTGTTCCTCATAGCCATGTAGGCTCTTCAGACACAGTGTTGAACTCTTTATTTTATTCTGGAAACCCTAATTAGTACTCACGGTTGTGATGAATAGGCTATATTAGACAGTAAGTGCCTGGGTTAAAGATTTATGCAACAGCATGTGGGTACAGTTTCAGTAAACAAGTGAATGATTGAGGATACCACATGCATAAAACCTGAACTACTGCAGAGAATAAATAAATTGGAAAAAAATAAAAATAAATAAATTAAAAAATCATAGTTATTAAATTGGTGAATGATGTATTGTATTGATTGCTATAGTGTGTTAATATAAGCTCCATCTGATATCCGAGATATTTAAAGCAGAAGTTACATCTGTCCTTGCCTGGGCTAAGAGAAAGCTAACAGAGAAGCTTTTTTCAAAAAATGTTTAAAGGTTTACTGCATTTCTAGAGGTTGTACTTACTAGTCTATTATGTGTTTTTCTGTATTCTTCTGTTCCCTTTCAAGTGTGTTTTGAAAAATGTACTTGTTTGCAAGCTAAGAACTGAAGGATATTTAATAGTATTCAAATAAGACATTCCCCTTGGTGTTTCAAATTTTGCTTTGGAAGAGGCACATAAAATAATACTTTCAGAAACAAACAATTATTTTATGTAACTTAGTTTTGTAAAATTAGAAGTTCACAATATTTTGAAAACATATTGTTCCTGAGAGAGAAACATTATACCACTGCTCTTAGAGTAGTAATTCACAGTGAAAAAGGCAGCCAGTATATTTTGTTTGTTTAAAACTGTACATTTGGGGGGAGGAAGGAAAAGTACAAAACACATTTTAAGTGCCTTGAGGTGTCTGTTGTACACAGGAGACTCAGCAACTAGAATTCATCTCTGATGAATAATCAGAATCTTTTGTCTTTGATATTTCTTGTCCAGAGTAGACCTTATAAACAATGTACATCTACCTTTTGTTGAGCATTTAAAGTACTCAGAAAACAAAGACATAAGCTTGCATATTCAGAACTGATTGGAAGGTATGATTTTAGATGTAAAGATTTCAGATGTCCATTCCTAGACCCTCTAGTGGGATCTGGTTTCCAGAAAACAAATGACCTGACTCTGATCTATTACTGAGCATATGACAATGAAGGTACCCAAGACCTGAAGAAGGAAGGGTAAAACTTCAATTTCAAAACACAGACCATATCCTCAATTTCCCATACCATTGCTAAGTCTTCCTCTCTGTGCCCCCCACCTTTCTTATCATCTGGAGAAATTCCTTTGGTGACGTCATGCTCAGGGAACAAAAGTCTCACTTATAAAAGGATTTTCTTTATTTTTCATAATTTAGCTGAACCAACACAAAACTGAATACTGTAAAGCAACAAAAATGATGTAACATCTTTAATTGTTCTGTGTTTACTAAATAAGGCTACTACACTCCCTTTAAAATAAAATCAAAACAGAGTTGGTAGAGTGAGGGATCTGGCTCTTGAGGTCTACATGTACAGTAAATGTATTTACCATCATTTATTGCATGACATTTTAAACCTGACATTGGTCATTTATAGTGCAGTCAGTCCATAACACTTTTCAAGTGGCTGGGCTTTAATTGCTACTTTGACACTGGTCAAAATCCTAAGATTAAATAAGAATTTTGTATATATTTATTTTACTTGAAGATAAAATGATCTATAGTTCATATTGCCTGCAACCTCTGCATTAAGTAAGCTTCAGTATTAGAGCAGGCTTTAAAAAAATTTCTTTAATCAACTTTTCATCTTTGTACCTTTCATCTATGGTCACTTGAACAATCTCTATATATTTTTTCTTTAGTAGAATAGAACTAGCATAACACTAAAAGTTAATCGGAGTATTAGGTAGTATACTTGAAACCATAATACATTTGCCAGGAAGAAATTAAGCTACCTTGTTGATTGCATCATACCAATATGTACCGAACTTACATACTGAAAGGTACAGTAAAAGGGAACAAAGTTTTGTTTCTTTCTCTGTTTTATAATAATTTCCACCTCGTCTATACTGTCTTTGCTAATTTTTCACTAACCAATAATGCCAAAAAAGTGGACTTTCTAACAATGAGGTAAAATACTGAAAATGGGATCAAGGAACAGGCTTCAAACTGATCCTTACATAGAAGTAGGGAGAGAGAAAGAGAGAGAGACAGAGAAAGAGAAAGAAAGAAAAACAAACCTTGCTATGAAGAGCAATGAGTAAAATATTTTACACTCTATTTTTATCGGTACATAAAGACAAAAATAAAAATAAAATTAAAATAAAAAATGCCTTCCAACAGTGCAATGGTTGAATGCATTTATGTAATATAAACAACATTATTCTTTGCTTTTTCTACACAGTCCTCTCTGGTCATGCTTTACATCCAGAATGTCCCAATGGAAGAAAGCAAACGACACCAGTCACTTCAGAGACAACTGAAGTAATAAAACACAACTTAACTCTGAACCACTTGTCATGACTGTCAGAGTTATCACGTTAATTGTTAAATAGGATTTTCTACAAATATACAACATATAAAAACTGTTAAATATATAACTTTAGGCTTTTCAAAATACATTTAATGATCTCTTTCAAACAAGTGTTACTTTTGTTTTCTCTTTAATTTGCTTTCTGGTGCTAAATGGTGTATCAGATGAGACATAGGCCACAGATGACCAAACATGCTCTTTGCAAATACTGTATTATCCAACTTTAACTATCAAAAATGGAACTGTAGAAGAGGCATGTTTAACTGGTTAAAACTGAAAATGATTTTAGTACGAGAAAGTCAATCTAAGTACAGAGGAATAAAGGTGCTGTGTAGACAGTTTGTGTTCTTTTTGTCCAAGTTTTTCAAACATAGGTCATTTTCTCTCAGTGCTCCATTATGTTTTCTCAAACGTGGCATTTCAAGAGCAGGTCTCTGAGTTAGTTTTTACTGCAGCTTTCCATAGAGACTTATGCTGGACAAGAGCATCTCAGCTTTGTGAAAGCTGGAATCATGTCCTTGTGGAGACCTCCTACAATTTAATGACATAACTCTGTTAACAGTAAGATTGTGTCCACTTTAAAATAGATTTTGCTCTTTGGTCTATTGTATATACTGAAAGTATAAGAAAATAAAAGCAATTCAGACAGTTTAGGGCACAAGAAGAGTTTCTCTTTTGCACCTCAGTGTCCTCCCATAGGCAAAACAGTCTTCTCTAAGGCTGATTGGGATGATACTCTTCATTGTAGCAGACTCTTCAGATCAAAACATGTAGGTAACAGCGAGTCCAGCAGTGGTGTATAACGCAGATGAAACGTTAACCATGAACTTTTTTGTATTGCTAATGCCCAAGCATATATTTTTTTCTATATTCCTTAGTCCAGTGATCCTTAGTATGGTAGAACAAACTTTAGCTCATAATGTAGAGAAATTATGCTGTCATTCATGAGATACAGAGAAACAGACAGCTGAGTTGATGACATATAACAGACGATGATCCACAGCAGTGAAACTTGACTAAGTTAAGGAGCTCACAGAGAGCCTAAACCACTCCTACGAGGATTCTGTGTTGCTGCATTTGTCAGGAGACCTGTAATTCAATAAGAACAAATGAATCAGTGTCTTAATTTATAATCCTGATTATCTTTACTGTCCATTATTTTAAAATATACTGTACTGATATTTTTCATGGAGACATTTAAAGAATTAGAAGATATTTCTTTTTCACAGCAAACATTTTCCTTGAGAAACAACATATGAACAAACCTATATTTTTATTTATTATAAAAAATTAACACTTTATTTTTTCTAATAGTCATGAATATAAAGTATAATTTACAATAACTTTAATGACATCTACTTTCTATTAAGCTCCATGCACATTCTTTATTATAAAAATATCACAGAATGTTCTTTTACCTGAACTAAAGTGATATAAAACAATAAATAATACACATGTCAATTAAGATGACTATTACTTTTTACATATAGGTTATGATGAAAAATGGATATGAAAGCCATGACCATTAATTAAAAATACAAGGATGTTTATACTGGAGGCTAAATTTCCAATGAGCACTAGCGTTCACCTAATTTGATCAATACTGCCCTCTAGCAATGCTATTACAAGTGCAAATGAATGTAAATAATATTTATTAATAGTCAATTTAATCAGAAAATTATTTTAGTTACACAGCAGAAAAACAAACAAACAAACAAAACAAACTAAACCAAAACAAAAAAAAGAATGGAATGGGCACAGGACTGCCTGATAAACCTGTTTAAAAGAAAATGGAATGGAAGCAGTGGTTTGAGATAGAAACAGAACCAAAGTTCATACTATTAAAGAAAACAGAATATTGGAAGACAGCACAAACACAAATGAGAAAGTAATGACTGATTTATACAGTAAGATGCCAGTGACTCACGTTCACCCAAAATATCAGTTTAGAAATGGTTTCAAAATTATGCAGATACTGTACAAGACAAAATGTTTTGAGGTGTATTAAGCAAGCATGATTGTTAAAAAATGCCATTTCAGTGTTCAAACATTATCTTCTGCTTTGGCATTGTTCTTTCTCCAAATAGTCAGAACTGTTATTAATGATGGAAATACCATGTATAACTCCAGAAAATACTGAACAGTGAATGTGAAGGAGCAAAATTAATAAGAAAATCCAATTCACTTGGTTCAAGATGTATATTAAATTTAGAGTTTTTAACCTAACCCTCAGAGCAGTAAATGAAAGAAATTCCTGGCACCAAATCAATTTAGTGACAGCTTGAAACATATGGATCTCTCTATATATGTATGTAGAAAGATAGATAGATAGACAGACAGACAGTTAGATAGATAGATGAATACTTTCCTTATAAGGCATAATGTGTATGTCAGATTTCTGCTTTTGTCCTCTCACCTTTTCCAGGAAAAAACACCCCAGAAATCTTGCAAACAGCCTTTCCTTTTCGGACTAGTGATCAGATCTCCAAACCACATGGCCTCAGACAGGCTGAAGGCAAAAAACCTGGTTGATTATTGTGGTATATTTCTCCCTTTTAAATATACATTCAGCAAGAGAAATTATTTTAAAGGTTTGCTTCTATTAATTGTTCTGTTTCCTCTTTATACTTTTTCTTGATGTTTCTGCTATGTTCCTTATTTTTCTTCCCATTAGAAAAGAACGCAACTTTTAAGGTAGTAGTACTATCTAGGCAGCAAGACACAAAACAAAAGATTTATGGTTTATTAGGTCTGAAAGTAAAGTGCTATTATGTTAAGAATTAGACTGACTTAGCTCCATCTTTCCTGAATTATGCTGGAATGGCCCAAAGCTAAAAGCAACAGCGTAAACTGCTGATGGACTGTGTGTTCAGTGTTTTCATAGTGTGCTTCTCTACCATATTGGTCCCAGAATGGAGAGAGAATTCAGGTGCAACCACATTCATTTGTAGATACCTGCTGCGTTGTCATTTTATAGATATAAAAGCTTCCTTCCAGACTTGCTATCCCTGCCTCCAGTTTGCACATCCCTGCTGCATGAGTAAAGTATCAACACTTTAAAAGAAGGAGAGAATAGGGGAGACAATTATGTGTTTTAAAAATGCTGAGTCAGGGCAGAGAGCAGGCTTAAAATAAAGTCATGACAGCAAGAGGGACAGATTAGAGACCAGGAGGTGAATTTACAACTTTGGACAGTGACAAGAGAAAATGGAATGAGAGGGGAAAAAAAAAAGGCATAGCTTAGCCAGGAAACTTTAAACATAATTTATTAATGAAGGCAGGAAAAATAAGTAAGATAAGTAATAAGAATGACAGATAAAAAGGAGAGAGAGGATAGGAGAGACCACGAAGATTCCAGAGAGGGGAAGAGAACGCACATCTACTCTCCCACCTCCTGTTATTTTTCCCTTTCATTCCTTATTACAGGTAAATTAATCACTCCCTGGAAAACCAGACGGATCAATAAAGGAAAAGAGTCATTCGCAAAATGACCATAAAAAGGATTTGTTTATTGTATATACTAATAGTTCAAAACAAAGAATATAATCACATAATCATAGAATCATTTAGGTTGGAAAAGACCTTTAAGACCATTGAGTCCACCTCTTAACAGAATACTGCCAAGTCCACCATTAAACCACGTCCCTAGTTGCCACATCTACACACCTATTAAATACCTCCAGGGATGGTGATTCAACCACTTCCCTGGGCAGCCTGTTCCAATGCTTGACAAACCTTTTGGTGAAGAAAGTTTTCCTAATATCCAATCTAAACCTCCCCTGGTGAAACTTGAGGCCGTTTCTTCTTGTCCTGTTGCTTGTTACTCAGGAAAAGAGACCGACACCCACCTCGCTACAACCTCCTTTCAGGTAGTTGTAGAGACTGATAAGGTCTCCCCTGAGCCTCCTCTTCTCCAGGCTAAACAACCCCACTTCCCGCAACCGCTCCTCATAAGACTTGTGCTCTAAGCCCTTCACCAGCTTCATTGCTCTTCCTTGGACACACCTCAGCACCTCAATGTCTTTCTTGTAATGAGGGGCCCAAAACTGAACACAGTATTCGAGGTGTGGCCTCATCAGTGCCGACTACAGGGGGACGATCACTTCCCTAGTCCTGCTGGCCACACTATTTTGGATATAAGCCAGGATGTTACTGGCCTTCTTGGGCACCGGGACACACCTGGCTTATATTCAGCTGACTGTCGACTTACACCCCCGGGTCCTTTTGTGCCGGGCAGATTTCCAGCCACTATTCCCCAAGCCTGTAGCGTTTCAGGGGGTTGTTGTGAGCCAAGTGCAGGACCCAGCACTGAGCCTTGGTGAACCTCATACAGCTGGCCTTGGCCCATCGATCCAGCCTGCCCAGATCCCTCTGCAGAGCCTTCCTACCCTCAAGCAGATCAACACTCCCACCTAACTTGGTGTCATCTGCAAACTTACTGAAGGTGCCCTCGATCCCCTCATCCACATGGTTGATGAAGATACTAAACGGAACTGGCCCCAGTACTGAGCCCTGGGGAACACCACTTGTGACCAGTCGCCAACAGGATTTAACTCCATGCACCACAGATCTTTGGGCCCGGCCATCCAGCCTTTTTTGTACCAGGCAAAGAGTATGCCTGTTCAAACCATGATCAGCCAAATTCTTCAGGAGAATGCTGTGGGAAACAATGTGAACGCCTTTACTATAGTCCACATAGACAATGTTCCCAGCCTTTCCTTGATCTACAAAGTGGGTCAACTTGTCACAGAAGATGATCAGGTTAGTCAAGCAGGATCTACCTGATCATAAACTCATGCTGACTGGGCCTGATCACCTGGTTGTCCGATACATGCTGCATGATGGCACTTAAGATAGTCTGCTCCATAACCTTCCCCAGCACCAAGGTCAGGCTGACAGGCCTGTAATTCCCTGGATCCTCCTTCTAGACCTTCTTGTAGACGGTCATCATGTTTGCTAACCTCCAGTCACCTGGGACCTCCCTGGTTAGACGGGATTGGTGGTAAATAATGGGAAATGGCTTGGTGAGCACTTCTGCAAGATCCCTCAGTATGCTTGGGTGGATTCCATCTGGCCCCATAGGCCTGTGTGTGTGTCTAAGTGGTGTAGCATGTCACTAACCATTTCCCCTTGGCTTATGGGGGCTTCATTCTGCTCCCCAAGCCTGTCCTCCAGCTCAGGGGGCTGGGTACCATGAGAACAACTGGTCTTACTATGAAAGATTGAGGTAAAGAAGGTATTAAGTACCTCAGCCTCTTCCTCATCCTTGGTCACTGCTTCTCCCTGCATCCAATAATGGATGGAGATTTTTCTTAGCTCTCCTTTTGTTGTTAATGTATTTATAGGAACATTTTTTATTGTCTTCTATGGCAGTAGCCAGATTAAGTTCTAATTGGGCTTTGGCTCTTCTAATTTTCTGCCTGTATAATCTCATGCCATCGTTGTAGCCCTCCTGAGTTGACTGTCCCTTCTTCCAAAGGTCATAAACTCTCTTTTTTTCCCTGAGTTCCACCCAAATTTCTCTGTTCAGCCAGGGCAGTTGTTTTCACCTTCTGCTGACCCCTCTCCTTACTTATCCAAGAATCGAAAACTTGAATTGAAAACCATTAAAAGTATCACATCCCTGATAGGCAGGTTTAAAGGAAAATGGTGCTCTCGATGACTGTTTGGGATCAATTTCTGGAATATTAATTAGGTCAATAGATTGCAATAAAAACTGTAAATTAAATAACTACATACACAAAACTGCTTTAAAGCATGGGAAAGGTGTGTTGGCATTTTTTTTTTTTCTCTTTATTTCCTTCACTTAGGAAATCTGCAGCAGCATCAAATTAAAGAGAGCCTGGATGCCAATCACATAGTATGAGATTTTCTTTTCTGTCCATGTCTACACAGGACTCATGTCAGTTCCAGGTACCGTTACGCAAGACGGTTTGTCGCTGACTTCAGTGAGGTCAGAATTTCTCCCCAGTGATACAGACACCAGGTTATGTTTCCTTCTGAAGGAGCCAAATATTTTGGCTGTAAGCTTGGAGATCTCTTGAGCTTGTTCAACTTTGAGATATTGAGGGGGCATCTAGTACCAGAGATTAAAATACTACTCTATGTTACCTGACTGTTTACGTGATGGAAGCCCAAGCTCCTGTGTCCCCCACAGAATTCTGTCCAAGAGGAAAACTCACTTTCCTGACTGCATATTAATAGATAATTCAAAGCATAAGAAACAATACATTTCATATGACTCTATATATTTTATTATAGTTCTTGGATTGCTTGAATATGTCCTGAGAATGTTTGGCTTATTAGAGCAACTATAATACAGTCCACTTAATTTGTCTTACTATGGAGGGAAAAGAATAAGGAACAGTTTATCTCCAACTGTGCCTTAAAGGCACATAAAATAAAATAATTAACTGGTTCATTGCCATGGTCAAAGACAAAGGAAAAAAGTTATGCAAGTCACCTTGAGAAGATGGGAATATGTAGCCCTTTGCCGACTTACACAGGCTTTCCACTAAAACAAGCACATCCAAAAACCTCTGTGCTTCAGTGTAGTATCTAGGATTGAATTTGGTGACAAAATGTTTGAATGTCTCATTACAAAACAGAAAATTGAACCAGGATTACTGTAACTGGCAAATATTTTCAGAGTAAGGACTGAGCTTCAAGTATGTCTGGCCTGACCTTCTATTTTAAATGGAATCCACATAAATACCAACAATTCCATGTCAAGCCCGGTAAAGCTTTAGCAGTTTCACCTGGTTTCCATGCTGTATTTTTAGAATAAAAATGAAAGTCAGACTGAACCACAGTCATTATTTTTGCCACAGTAAGCAAGTGCTTTTACATGACTGCCTGTTGAAGTTATATTGGCACCCTATGATGACAACTCTGAACTATCTATCATGCTTCCAGCACTGATTTCCAGAAATTTTCTGGATGCCTACAAAGTAATTGGTCATATTAAAGAGGTTTCAGTGTTGCCTAAGAACTGAACTACTTGTCTGAACTGTGTTTTTTACACATTCAGCTACACTCTTAAAAATGCTTCTGTGAGTCTTAGTATTCTGTTATAGTACCCATCCGTGTAAATGACTTTTGGTTTTGGTTTGGGGTTTTTTTGCACAAAGATAATTCACAGAAATGGCTGGAGGTTGGGCCAGTCTCTGTCTCACAAATCTACTCATACTCGAAATAGTTCCAAACCTTTTACCAACTGACTACAAGTCAGATAAACATCATGTCTTTCCCCTCTGCTTCTGCAGCTGTGTGTTCTAGGTCCCTGAATAACTAAGCATGTATAATGCAGAAAGAAAGACATAAAAGCATTAGAATGCCCAAGAAAAACTTTACACTGCCTTGCAAGATACTTCATGCTTTACAGGAATAAAAATGTAAATTTCTGGTGATGATCCAAGCAGTAGAAATGACCTGTTGCATTTATGAGAACTCCCATAGTGCCTCCTGAAAATGTATTCTGTTTTCCTCCCTTCCGCTCCCTTTCTTCAT